AGGAGGACCGGGGCGGGCTGGGAACACTGGACGTAGGGACGGCAGGGAGACGCTGCTGGAAGGGAGGGCCCATTGCCGGGGCTCCTGCCTCAGGCCCTTTGCTTCTTAGTGCGCAAATGCTCAGTGACCTTGACCTTGTGTTCCTCCTCTCGTAGATCCAGCCCCCACTCCGTCTCAAGAAAAACCCGCCCCCTCATCCGTAGCCATTGCTAATTATAAGGCGCCTATATGTTCGTCCCGGAACCCGGCCTGCCTTTTGCAAATCTATTCTTGTGGCGGGAGGGCTCGGGGGGATTCCAGGAAACGAACACCGTGACATGGAAACACCGAACGGAAGGCATCGACCTCATTAAGTTGGTGGGGAGCTCAACCTCCCGGAAGGGCCTTCCACCTGGAATTTCTGAGCTGTGGTCTGTTTACCGAAAGTCACCAAAGCATGAAGCGGGAGCTTCAGAAGGACTCCTGAACGGCTCTCTGAAACAGTGACATTTGTCTCGATATCAGAGAGATCAGCCCGAGTTCCTGAAAGCGGGGATGCGAAGGGGAGCGGCATCATTCCGGAGCGCGGCTCTAAAATGCACAGCAGCGCATCAGGGCGGAAACGAAACCACCTTTGCTGGAGAAGGGTCAGCGAGCCAAGGCCCCAGCAAGCACCCCCTCCCCGCCCCTGCCCCGTCTCCCTAAGGCGTGTGTTTCCAGACGCACCTTCCTGAGAGCCACCAAACCTCCCGCTCTCGTCCTGGGGAAACCTCAACAACGCGAATCCTAACGGTGAACCCAGCAAGGCGGAGCTGGACGTCTGAAGACGGACGGCCGCCCCCCGCGGGTCTGGGAGGCCAGCTCGCTGGGGCAGCAGAAAGCGCGCTGTCCTGCCTCCCACCTTCACCTTGCCGTTACTTAGGGCTGGCTTTTGGTTTTTTTTAGGTTTTCTGCTTTAAAAAAAATATAGGGTATCTGATTTTGGATCAGCCAAATGCACCCCCAATCCTGTCCCTTTGTGACTTCCACGCCTGGGCCGCGTGTCCCCACGCAGCAACCCCCCGCCCGACACAGCGGCTGCCCCTGGACTCCTGGAGCGGAGGGGGCCACTCACCTGCCTTCCTGGCGTCTGCTCGTTAAAAAGGACACAGTCTAGTTTATAGGGTTCACCAGCCGCTGCGAGGATCTGGCGCGGCAGCTGGCTCATTAGGGAGTGTCCCTGCAGAACGTCAGAAGCAATTGGTGAATGAGAAGCGCCCCGTGAGGGTCGAGTTTGGAGGCCGGGAGTCCATTAGTCTATTAGGGCGTTTTCAGCTCAGTGAAAGAGGCTGAATTATTCACGAGCAGCAGCGTCTCTTTCCCCTAAAAGCCCGGGAAGTGCACTCCCACAGCGCAGCCTGAGACCAGCTCCTGGCCTGCGGGACTGGGAGGGGGCACCCACTGGGGTCCCGCCACTGCCTGGGGCTCACTCCCCGCCCCCCCCCACCAGGGCCACAGGTGGAGGAGGGCGAGGGCCACAGGTGGAGGAAGGCGGGCCCTGCTTTCTGGTTATCAGAGGCCGGGACCCCCAGACTTGCAGCTCTGGCCCCACCACATCCTTATGTCGGCAGTAAGGGGTCCCCAGGCGACCACCACCCACGGTGAAGGGGCTGGGGTCTGCAGGGAGGTCCCCCCTCCCTTCTACTGGGACGTGCCCCACATTGGTATACCTTATGCCATCAGTACCTACAAATGGCCGGAAGGTTCTGGAAGTCTGCTATTTGAGCACCACGCTACCGCTCCCTGGAGGCAGGGGTGCGAGGGCCCCTCCTCACAGCACACGTTCTGACCTTGGGTTTGGGAAATGCTTTGTGGCTGAGCTCTGGGCGGAAGCCAGGCTGAGCCCCTGTCCTGGGGTCACCCTAGGATCCCAGACGAGTCTCAGCATGACATGACCTGTCAGCGCGAGGATTCCGGATGGAGGCTGAGAGGACTGTTCGTGACAAACAAGCACCCGGTAGCTGCTCCCCGCGTGGGGAATCGCTGCCCGGGACGCAGAGAAGAAAGGAAACAAAATGGGAAGCAGGACGCCGAAGCCAGGGGACTGCCAGGGGGTCATTACCCGGTGAGGCCCCGCCTCTCAAAGGTGCCCGCCTGCCATGTCAGCTCCCTGGCCTCTATGTCACGGGCCCCACTGCTGGATGGTGGCCTCAGCCTGACATACCCTGACACACCTCGTCTCCTCCCCCGCCGGGCTCTACATGCCTCTGTCAGGTCGACATCTTCAGCACCAGCCCTCAGTCACCCAGAGGACACGGCTCCTGACTTCCTGTTCTCCTGAGCTGCTGCCCTTTATTCTTCCTGTGGCTCCTCTGCTCAGCCCCTCTCCATCATTCCTGGGCTCCCCCACGCAGCCTCTCCACTGGCCGTCTCATTCCCTGCCCGAGCAGAGCTCTGATCTCTGCCCTGCTCAAACACTATCGATGGCTCCCCAGTGCCCACCGAAGACAGCTCAAGCTCCTTTGCTCGGCATTCACGGCCCTTCCCCATCTGAACTCCATCTTCCTCTATGGTCCAGCCCCTCGTCCCTCTCCATCCCATCCCTCACGGCAGGTCTGTGTAACCACCACCTCCTGTGCTGGGCACCTCTCCAAGCTGTGGCTCAGACATCTCCTGGAATGTTCCTCCTGGGCTCTGCATGGAAGTCTGCCCAGCCCCCAAGGCCCTGCTCAAAGCCATCATGCCGTCTCCTCCATGAAGACTTCCCTGACTCTCAGTGGGCTGTGCCCACACCTTCCTCGGAATGCCAACAGCTGTTTAGACTTCCCCCACGACAAATTCTGCCTTCTAGATACTTTAGTTATTTGGGTTCTGGGGTAGATTGCATTACGATGCCGGGTTCTCTACCCTCCCCCCCCCGCATCACGTGACTGTGGTTCTCCCGTGGGGAGTGGGAGAGTACCTTCCTGCCCTCTGACATTGGCTTGGTCGTGAGCTTTGCTTTGGCCAAGAAGAAAAGAGCAGTGTGCCGCTTCCAACCACAGGCCTTTGGAGACATGACATGATTCTGCCTTTCCTCTGACAGTTTTGCCCAAAATAGCCTCTGGTTAAAATGGGTGGGAGGATGAACACCTGGGCCCCACCTGCAGCTCAGACCAAACCCAGCTGAGCCCAGATGAATGGATGCAGACACATAAACAAGAAATACGTGCTCCTCCTTGTAAGGTGCTGACTTTGGGGCTTGTTTGTTACGAGGCATTCTCTGGAAGAGCTGACAGATACAGGGTCTTACCTCCCTTACTAGTCTGTGAGCCGTCTGAGGGCAGGGTGCACACCTTGAACACCTCTGCCCTGTTAGGGGAGGGGTGGTCAGTCGGCACGAAGCAGCCGGCGGACTTAACGCTCTGGTAGCTGTGTCAGCGCCCAGGTGACAAGGATGCCCCATTGGGAGTGTCACCTAGTATGTTAAACGAAGATCCTGCCTCTTTAGAGGTCATAGTCGGAGTCCCCACAGGAGACCCTGCAGTGTCTGTGAGAAGCAACCACACTGGAGATGCCAAGGGCAGGGCGGCCAGAACGTGCGGGGGTCAGGGACGGAGGTCGGCGGGTCTGGGGTGCAGTCCTCAGCAGGGCTCGCCTCAGGGTCAGACGGTCACTTGGGCACAGGGAGCTCATCCAGAAGGTTCCCCAGGGAGTGGACAACAGGTGGGATTTGCGGGGCCCCGAGGCCCAGCAAGGGGAGGGGGACCCTCTCTCGCTTCGGCTCTGTGATACCCGGCATCTACTCGGCGCGTCCCGCGGCGGGGCCCCTCAGGTGGCGGTCTGCGCTGCTGCCCACCCTGCACTCCCTTCCTCGGGGCTCTCTGAGGGTGCAGCTCGAAGGCACGTTTGGTCTCAGTGGCCAAGTCCCTCCGGGGCGAATGTCTCACACTGGCCCCGGTATACCGTGCCGTCACTCGTACCGTCACACGTATGTGATGGCAAGCGTGTCATCGACAAAAGCATCTGCAGGCCCAGGCTCAGATCTAACGACTTCAGGCAAAATCTTACCGAGCAAAAACTTCAGCCACCATGTTAGGGATCTCTGTAAGGAGCGAGACCCCATGGGAGACAGGGAAGTCGGGGCGACATCAGCCCGAGGACCCAGGCCCGCAGTCTCGTTCAGAGGTGCGGGGGCTGCGGAAAACCAGGTCCCCACGTCCTCCCTGCGTCAGCGGTACCAGCTCCTGGCTCTGCGCCGGTGGGTGTGCACAGCCCTGGGGAAGCTGCTTCTGGACACAGACCCCCCAGGCCTGAATGCCAGGGCACATGCCACACACAGGGCCCTGCCCCCGAAGGCCACATGGTCCTGAGGCTGGTGGGGCCGACCTGGGGCTCCTGTAACCCTGCTGCTTTCCCGACAGGAGGAAAATGTCAACCTGAATGAATTCGTGGTGTTACAGCCTTCCCGAGGGGCACCTTGTGGCTCACCTCCCCACTCTACAGGCGAGCTTCAGGCGGCCCAGGGGACTCGCCCGGGCGGACTCTGCTGGCTCACCTGCCCTGGGCCCCCCTGGACGCCATGTCGCGCTGGGGCACAGCCTCCCACCCAACAAGCTGGTGTGCTGATGCAGCAACAGGGAGACGCGCCAGACAAACACCAGCGGGTCCGTGCTGACCCGGTTCACACTGGAGCCACACGTCCCTGAGACGGTGTTGACCCTGGATTTCAAGTCAGCTCACATCCAAAGAAAAGGGGAGAATGGCTTGGTTTGCCCCCGAGACCACAGGGCAGCGCCACAACCCCCGCCCGACGAGTGAGATTTGAGGGTAGGTCTGGTGAGGGCTAAGCAGGCACCAGGAGGCCACTGGCTCAGATCCAAGAGAGTTCTAGAGATCAGCACACACACTGTCCACGGGGCGCTCCACAGGCCGTGCGGGTGGGCACAGAGCCCATGTCTTACGGGGAGGTCACCAGCACACCCGGCCTGGCGGGGCCTGGCCCTCCCGCCGCTCCCCTGCCTTCAGCTCGTGGGTCTTAGGGAAAATGGAGGGCTCGTTACCTGTAAAACTGGAGCTGTCTTTTGGGGCTCCCATACCGAGTACTGCGGACAGCGGTGGAGGACAGAGAAAAAGAAGAGAGAGAAAGAGAGAAAGAGTCCACAATTGGCATTAGCCACAGGGAGGTGCCGGCCGGAGGCACCAGCCACGCCCCACAGCCCGGCCCGGCCCCACCCCGCTCCGCTCAGGCCGTCTGCCGGGAGGATGGGCGCCGGGTACCAAGTGCTCGGCGGCAGCGCCACCCAGTGGCACACGGAGGCAGAGGCCCGGCCTGCCCGGACGCGGCCTCGGACCCACACGGGGCGGAGGGCGGGGGAGCAAACACAACAGGTGAACCTCTGAGTGACAGTCTAGGTTTTAATGAAACCTGCCTTCGAACGACAGCACGAAACCCTCAAACCGAGAAGCCACCCGTCACCCCGTGTGCTGGAGAGTCTGCGTGTGGCCCTGCGGTTCTTTTTAGGACTTCGATGAAGGAGGGACGCCCCCTTTCCCTGTGGGCTCTGCAGATACTTGCTCTGCATCAGGCCCTAACAATTTTTGAGAGAGGCCCAATCGATGGGGGGCCGATGGGCCCCTGGGGTCCCGCCCGGGCCCCATCTTTCATGACAGCCACTGCCGTCTGGGTTCTGCACTCCGTGCCTCGGACAGCAGCTGTCACCCAGCGCCTCGGCGTCCCCTCCCCTTCCAAAAGGAAAGCCCCAGAGCTGGACTTGGAGGCGGCCTCCACATTAGGGCACCCTCCTGCTGTAAGGCTCTGAGCCCCCCTCAAAGGAAGCTGCAGGGGCTGTGATGTGTAAGAAAGAAACAGAAGATGGGGAGGGTCCCCCACTCACTTCCGGGCCTGCTCCCTCCAACATTTCAGAAGAGTCAGGGACGAGTCTAACCCCCGCGGCACCCCAGTGGGAAAATCACGGGCTTTTCTTTCCCACTTTGGTTTTAAAAGCTTCCCTTTCTTTCCTTGGAGAACGAGCTTGCCTACATGCACCTCGGAGTCCTGTGGGCCTCCCTCGATCTTTCCCTCTGGGCCAAGGGGTGGGACCGGCCTCAGGGACCCCTCCTCAGAGGCAGGACTGACCCCGAGAGTGGCCTGGGCGGGTGGGGGGCAGGGGATCACCTGTAGATCATGCCGGGGGAGCCCGTCTGCCGCAGAGAGAGCCGCGCCGGGGAGCCCGTGGTCGATTCTGGGTACATGGAGCCGGCCTCACTTGTGCTGACCTGCTCTCTTCTTCACGGAGGGAAGATCCTGGAGAAAAAGCAGAGTAGAGGGGAGGTGATTCAAAAGACCAGTTGGGTTTGCCCTGGAGGCTCTGTGATAGTGAGGGCCCGTATGCTGGGCACCTGGACACCGCACATCAGAAGGACAGACAGACCGATCCGTGGGGGCTCAGACAAGGGGGATGGGCGGGTTCGGTGGTTCTTCCTTCTGCCTCCCCAGCTGCCTTCCTGAGGTTCTGGGAGCCCTTTCCTGGCGGTCCCAGGGGAAACCTGTGGACTCAGGGCTCCGGGCTGTCTCCCCCATCCTGGCTCAGGTGTCCCGGGGCTATCCCCATGTCCCGGCTCAGGTGTCCCGGGGCTGTCCCCCCGTCCCGGCTCAGGTGTCCCGGGGCTGTCCCCCCCGTCCCGGCTCAGGTGTCCCGGGGCTGTCCCCCCCGTCCCGGCACAGGTGTCCCGGGGCTGTCCCCTCGTCCTGGCACAGGTGTCCCGGGGCTGTCCCCCTGTCCTGGCACAGGTGTCCTGGGACTGTCCCCCGGTCCTGGCTCAGGTGTTCTGGGGCACTTCCTGACCCAGGAAGTGGCACGACTGCCACCAGGCTCATCCCTGATGCTGCAGCTTCCTAGTGGCCCCGCTCAGCTTCCAGGGGGGCAGCCGGCGTGTTCTGGAGACTCATGCCCTCCCCGGGAGTGTGCGCTGGACCCAGCAACCGGCTCCTACCCCACAGGACAGGGCACAGGTGACATGATGTCACTTCCGTGCCTCCTGTCCTGCTCACAGATGCCCTCCCTTGCTGGTGGTGACGACGCAGGCTGCCATGCTGGAGAGGCCCGGGAGGCCGGGAACCGAGGCCTCAGAGACCTGAATCCTTCGAACTGCGTGAGCTTGGAAGAGTATCCTTCCCCAGTCGAGCCTTCCAATGAGACCCCAGCCCTGGCCCAACACCTCCGCTGCATGCTTGTGAGGCCCCGAAGCAGAGGACCCTGGTAAGCTGTGCTGTGCTGGCCTCTTGGCTCATAGAAACTGAGTTTTTGGGCCCTAAGTTTGCAGCAACATTTTTATGTAGCGACAGATAATGAATGGAACAGACACATCTGTCCATTCACTTTCCTCCCTACTATCCTCAGGCTGAGCCACCAACATGTCACCTGAACCAGCTCAGCCTCCTGACGGCTCCCCACTTCCCCTTGGCAGCCAGGGGCATCTACTTCAAAAGATTAGGTACTGCATCCCTTTCTTCTTCTCCGAAGGGCCAAGTGCACACATACCACAGAGCCTTTGCACGTGCAGCTCCGTTTGCTTGAAATGCCCTTATGACAGACCTTCTCATTGTTGGGCCTCCTCTGGGAGCCTGTGCCCGACTGTCACACTCAGGGGTTCTCTCCCAGCACCCTGTCTGCTGTCCTGTGTAGTCAGCACCAGTGACCTCCTTGGCGGTCTGTCCCTGAGTTATGAGGTCTCGACTCTCTCTGGAGCGCAAGCCCCCCCTCCCCACCCCCAGCACAGAAAGCTCGCTGGTTTTGTTTACTGCCACATCCTCTGTGATCAGATAGGCCTTGGTACTCAGCAGGGACGTAACACAGAGCTTCCAAAAGAGTGACCGTCCTCTGATCCAAAATCACCTTGCCCCATGCCAGTGGGCAAAGGGATGGTCTGGTCTCAAAACACAGCCCCGCCTGCCCCTAGTGGGGCCTCTCAGTGGGAGGCAGGCTTCCTCTGGACGCATTCTCTCCCCACACCCCTGCCCCAAGCTCTTGGGTAGTACAGTCAGCTCCCGTTCCTAACTGAGCTCCCCTCTGAGTGAGGGGCGCGCGCGTGCGAACATGCTGGGAAAATGAGGAGAGACAATGCAAGTCAGAGCTGCTACAGAAATAACCTTCTGGAAATGACGGAAATGATGGGGTCAGCAGAGGTCCCCAGGGTTTTTTCTTTCTTTTTTTTTTTTCGTAGGCTCCGCGCCCAGAGCCGAGCCCAATGTGGAGCCCAAACTCACGAACCATGAGATCTAGACCTGAGCTGAGGTCAAGAGTTGGATGTTTAACTGACTGAGCCATGCAGGCGCCTGCCCCGCAAAGTTTTATTCTTAAAAAATCTCATTCAGAAAGAAATGACAAAGTGAAATGCAAACACACTTAAATCTGTGAAAGAAACACAGTGGATCTTTGGCTAATGTTGAATCCAGTCTTTGGGCTTATCAGGTGATTCCCCATGACCGGCGATGCTGTGACCTGGCCCACCTCTCCCCAGGCCCCGGGTCCGCTTGGCCCTGTCCATCTGCACCTGGTGGAAGGGCTCCAGGCAGACCCTGGGCTTCCATCAGGGTCACTGTCAGCAGATGGGCCAGCCCGACTCCTCCCTGCCCAGATCTGCGCAAGAAAGCGGCGCAGGGCCTCTCCTGAAGAAAGAGGTCGTTACCCAGCTCCAGGAGGATCCAGTCCCTGTGGTTCTGAGGGCGGGGGCCTCAGAGGCAGCTGCTCCTCTGTGCCCATCAGGTGCTCCTGGGGTTCACTCTGCCGGGGGCCTCAGGGCACGAAAGCCAACCTTCTCACGAGAGCCGTTAACCTTAGGTCAGAGGGTGGTGGGTTTACTGGTGCACAGAATGTCTGTCGAGGCCCTACTGTGTGCGGGTGCTGGTGGCTGCCTGTACGACACAGTCCACTGTCCATGGATGGAAACCACAGCCACAGAGCTGAGGCTGCCCGGAGTGGCAGGCATTGTGTCTGAACACGGTGGCCCAGAGGTCGCCCGGGAGGAGCGATGGCTGCAGGGGAGGAGGGATGGCCCCAGGGGACGGGGTGCGGGATGTCCGCACAGGGCCTTGTGGAAGGGGGCCAGGCAGCCCAGAGCAGGGGGGACGCCTGTGCCCTTGAGTGGGGATGTGACCCAGCCCACACCCCACTCTCTCCCGTCTGGCTTTCGCGGGTCCAGTTGCTGAGTGGTGGAGTCTCAGCCCCCAGCCCGGGCACTCAGGGCTGTCTAACTCCCAGGATTCCAGAATCACACGCCCAATCTGAACTGGAGATGGTGTGGGGACCAGGAGTCTCTGATTCCATAGATGTGGGGTGCGCCCAAGGTTCCACATTTCTAACTAGCCCCCCGGGTGATGCTGGTGCTCCTGGCCCAGGGGCCACACTCTGAGGACTGCTGGCCTGCAGCCGGGGCCCTGGGCCGGGAACCGGCAAATGAGCACCAACAGACCAGAGCCAGCCTGCCGCCTGTCTCTGTAAGTCAGGTGTTAGCGGAACACGTCCACACCCGTTAGCTTCCGAGCCGCGCCTGCGTCTGTGCTTCACGGGGGCGCGGAGCCACCTCAACACGCTGTCTGGCCTGCGAAGCCTGATACTTGCCACGTGCCCCTTTACACAGCAGTTCGCAGGCCCTGCTGTAGCCCCTCCCCCCAGCATGCCGCCGGCTCAGACCCCCCCAACCCCCATCCCTGAAGTCCCCAACACGTCCTCTGCTGCCTGACTGTCAGCTCTGGGAACCTTCTGCTTCCCCTCCTATCGCCACCTGGCCGGCCGGCCACGGCCACGGCCACGGCACCCGCCTGAGCACACGCACCACTCCCGCCCCTGCTCAAGAGCATCCCCGACTCTCAACGCGGATTCTTTGCTCATTATGGGGCAGTGCCCTCCGCACGCGGCTGCGTGTTACTTCTCTCGTCTGAAACGACAAAAAGCGCAGCTCCTTGGACCCGCTTCCTGCTTCCCTCCTTCTGTCGCGGGAAGGCTCCGCAAGCGGGTCCTTCCGGGTCTGCGTCTCTCCCTTCTGCCCTCCTGCTCTGCGGAAGCTACTCCTGCCAAGGGCACTGTGACCTCCCTGTTGCTAAGTCCGATGGTGCCCAGGGTTTGGGGGTGATGGCGGGCTGCTCCCCCGGCTCCTGGGACCCACGCTCTCTTCCTGTCCCCCAACTCTTCTCCTCAGTCTCCCTGGCTGCCCCGTTCGCCTCTGCGACCGTGAATCTCTTTTCGTTTCCATTACAAGAAGCGCCTGGTGTTTCCACCTTCTCCTGGCTCTGAATTGTGTGCTTACGCGGGGGAACCTCCAGGCCCCTGCTCCCCACCCCCGGCCCCCCCGCCCCAGGCGCATCTATTCAACTGCCCTTGAGCATCGCTAAAGGGTGCGGAGCAAGCGCCTCCGAGTCACTTGTCCCAAGCGGAGCCCCTGGTCCCTGCTACCCCAGCCCCGTTCTTGCCACGGCTTCCCCATCACAGAGTCATCTTCAGAAACATCCAGAAGCCCACGCATGTCCCAGTGGCCCCTGCCACCTCCTCCCCGGTCCAGGCCACCCCTTCCCTCTTACAGTCCCCACAACAGCCTCCTGATGGGTCTCCCGGCTTCACTCTCACCCCTCACGGTCGGCTCTACGGGAGCCAGAGTGATCCTACTAGAACATCAGTCAGATGTCATCACTTTGCTCAAAACCTTTCGGTGCCTGCCCGTTCTACCCAGAGGGAAGCCCCCGAACTCAACAGTGGCCTTGGGGCCCGACCTCTCCCCGCCCCTCGCTCACCCCGCCCCAGTCACGCTGGCGCCTCCGTTTCTCACAGACCCACAGATGCTCCGACCTTTGCTTCCTTCTGCCAGAAGCTCTCTGACCCCTGTGGACCATCTGAGGCCCCTCTCCAACCTCTGCCTCTTTGTACAAACGTCACCTTTTGGCTGAGTCTTCTCGGGACACCTTATCTTTTTTTTTTTTTTTTAACATGTATTCATTTTTGAGAGAGAGAAAGTGGGGGAGGGGCAGAGAGAGAGGGAGACACAGAGTCTGAAACAGGCTCCAGGCTCTGAGCTAGCTGTCAGCACAGAGCCCGACGCGGGGCTCCGATTCACAAACCGCGAGATGGTGACTTGAGCCGAGGTCAGAGCTTATCTGGCTGAGCCCCCCGGGCACCCCTGGACGTCTTATCTTCAGCTGCAGACCCCACCTCCCCGTGTTCCTCTAACCCTCCCCTGGTCATTTTTCTCCCTAGCGCTGTCACCTTCCAGCACACCTTCTACTTCACTTGTGTCCCAATTGTGGTCTGTGTGGCCCCCTCCCCTCAAGACCCAGCTCCACGAATCTGACCGCTGTGAGCACAGCTGTGCCCGGTAAACACTCAAATATTTGTTGAATGAATGAATGAACGAACGAACGAATGGATGGATGGCTGAGGCGGACTCCGCCAGCTGAAGGCTCATCCAAGGGCAGCACAGGGGAAGGGGCCGGGTGTCTGCATCAAGGGCAAGCAGGCTGCCTGCGGTGCCGGGCAGGCCTGGGGACGCTGCCTGCGTGTGGGATGAAGACGGTCTTCTCTGGAGGACGCGGTGCTCTGTCCCAGGCATGGGGACGGGGGCCGTACAGGCTGCACTCGGGGAGGTGCCCCGAGTGGGGCACCTGTCGCACTCCTCGCCTCTACCTCGCCTGGACTCTGGAAGGTCAGGCTCCCCGGCCCACAGCCAGGCACCGGCCACGCTCTGGTGCCCACTTCACGAGAACGACAGGCCCCGTTCCTCCTGGGGGCTGGCACCTTTGCCACATCCCAGGGGAGGGGGGGCCGGTGGGTTTCCCCACGCCCCTGCTTGCATTCGGCTGACCTGCCCCGAGCCCTCCTCCTCGTCTCCAGCTGCCACGGTCCAAGCAGGAGGGACCCCACCTGTCCAGCGGCCGTCCCGAGGGCAGCGCCCAGCAGGGTGCTGCCGAGCCCAGGAGCCGCGCAGGAAGGGGCGCTGGCAGGCAGGGCGGCTCTGTCCTCCGAGAGGGACGGCTCAGAAGAGAGGCTTCAGAAACCACTTGAGAGCCTGCCTGGCCCAGGAGAGAGGGCTGGCTCAGGGTGCGGGCTGGGGATCCGCAGTCTGGGCCCCTCTGTCCCCTGCACTTCCACTTGGTCTGGGTGTGACCTTGAGCAAGCCACCTGGCTCATTCCTGGAGATGGTGAGGCACAGAGCACTCAAAAAGGCCTACCTGTACTTTCTTGCAGAAGCAGAGAAGAATGACATGAAAAAACTCTTTGAGCTCAGGAGGGAAGGAATTGGGTAAATCCTAGCTCTCGGCCCGTGTGTGTGGGGGGGCTGACGATGACGGCAGGGTCCCCAAAACCCAGGGCTCCATCTACGGGCACTGCCTTTCTCCTCAGGCTACCATTCTGAAAACTTTCGAACATCATTAAAGTTATAAAGAATCAGCACAAAAACGAAAGCCCGGACGCTCTACTTTCTATTCCCCGATTGCATGTATTTTGTCTGGTTTGTACGCCTCCCCTCTGCCCTCTCTCCGCTCCCCCTCCCCTCCCTCCCTCTCTCACTTGCATGCAGGCTCACACAGTCACCCGCACGCACACACACAAGCACGCTCATATGGTCGCACGTGCTTCGGCCAACGGAGAGTGAGCCACAGGACACTCGTCTCCACCATCCCCAGGGACAGACGACCCCCCAGACCGCCCCGCTGGCCCAAAGGGAACAGCTGCATGTGCAAGGGCCACCCGGCGCAGACCAGACACTGCCAGCCACCCCGCGAATGCGAGATGAGCGAGAGCTCGCTGTGGCCGGCCCCCAGGACTGTCACGCAGAAGGTGAATGGGGCTGAGACTTCAGCTGACTCTGCTGGCGTCAGCCTTCAGGCTCACCCTCGTTCCATGAAGTTATGACTCGTGAGTCAGGGGAGGGACCTCCAGTTAGTGGCGAAGCCCCGCTGGTCTCCCCGCAGTAGAGTCTGGAGCTCAGGAAAACCGGGACGCCTGGGGGGCTCAGTTGGTTAAGGGACCGACTTCGGCTCAGGTCATGATCTCATGGTTCGTGGGTTCGAGCCCCGTGTTGGGCTCTGTGCTCACGGCTCAGAGCCTGGCGCCTGCTTTCGATTCTCTGTCTCCCTCTCTCTCTGCCCCTCCCCTGCTTGCAGTCTGCCTCTCTCTCTCTCAAAAATAAATAAACATTAAAAAACAAAACAAACAGGCAGTGGGAACCTTCACTTAGCACGAGCTCCTGATGCCAAGTTGGAGTCCTGGGTAACTGTTCCTGACTCGAAGCCTCACCAGAGCCACCGCACACGCTTCTATCCTCCTCTGGGACTGGTTTGGTGACAAAATCCCCCCTTGTGGGTGACCCGAGGAGACCCTTCCATGTGTCAGGGAGGGAGGCGAGGCCCGGCTGGGCTCAGATCTGCTGTATGACCTTGGGCAGATCTTTCAACCTTCCTAAGTGTCAGTTTCTCCATCTGTGAAATGGGATAATGGGAATTGAGGAGGCTCTGATGTGCTAACAGGTGAGGGTGCACTGGGAGGGCCACGGGGATCCCCCTGCGCCTGGCCCTGGAGGAGGGAAGGTGCTGGCCCAGGGCCTGGGAGCCCCGATCATCCCTCCTGCTTCAGAGTCTGCACCACAGGGCACAGATGTGGTTTCACCTTCTAGAAAATCACTTCTTAGGGTCCTCAGATTTGCTACCACATCTGCTTTTCCCTTGCCACCTCCCCGCTTGGCTCGTGGGGGCTGCCCATCTTTTCCACCTCCCTAGAAAAAGGCTAATCCCTTGTGGACGCGACCAGCCACTCACGGGTATGACTTGGCTCATGGTGGGGCCCGTATTTCTTGGGCCCCCTGTGGCTGCATCCCAATTCCTCCTGATCATCCTGGAAGCTCAAAGGTTCCAGAAGGCTTGTCCCCACCTAGTGGAGGACTTAAGAATTGCAACACTGAGGGCGCCAGGCTGGCTCAGTCAGCTAAGCGTTCAACTTGGGGTCAGGTCACGATCTTGCTTTCCAGCCCTGCGTCGGGCTCTGTGCTGACAGCTTGGAGGCTGGAGCTGCTTCAGATTCTGTGTGTCCCTTTCTCTGCCCCTCCCCTCCCCTGCTGTCTCTGTCTCTCTCACTCGTTATCAAAAATAAATAAACTTAAAAAAAGAAAAAAGAATTATAACACTGCATGAGTTATCTATTGCCACGTGACCCGAGCTAGTGGCTGGAAACAACTAAGAATTCTCACGTGGTTTTGGAAAGCCAGGCACTGGGGGTTGTCCTGGCCGGGTCGCTCTGGCTCAGGGTCCCTCCTGAGGTTGCGGTGAGGGTGTCCGCTGGGCTGGGCTGGAGATGCTAGATGTCTCACTCGCAGGGGTGAGCAGGGGCCCCCTTCCTGCCACCTGGGTCTCTCATGCCAGGGGAGCTGCCTTCCCCCAGAGGGAGGGATGGAGAGGGAGAGAAGCCTCGAAGCCTTTTATGCCCGAGGCTCAGGACTTTTGTTCTCTTGCCTGCAGAGGCCAGCCCTAACACAGGGGTGGGGGGTGGGGGGGCGAGGGCCAGGGGGTGTGGCATCTGTGGCACCATTGATGGACAGTTCCCCAGGTTCACTCCTTCCCCATCTCTCCCGTGAGACCCCTGGGCGTCGGCTCCGCCAGGACAGGGGGCTCTGTCTCTTTCGCTCCCCAACGTGTCTGAGTGCCCAGAGCAGCGCACGGTGCACTCCGTGGACACTGCCTGATGGGGAGAAGATGGGAGAGGTTCGTGCTGCTGGGGGTGGTGGACAGCAGGGAGGTCTCCCCAGGAGCCTCGGGGCTGGGACGCGAGCTCCGTCCCTTGACCTCATGTCACTCTGCGTGTGGCTTCTCGATCCCTGGAAACTCTTCCTGCCAGAGGCCTGAAGGACCACTGTGACTGTCACACAGCGAGAAACCACATTTTAAGTCTGAAGCTGCAGGAGCCGCGGCAGCCAGCGTGTGCCTCACGAAGAGACAGGAAGAGGTGTAACTGCTCGAAACCGCCAGATCCGGAAGGCTTCTTGCGTAACACACCCTTCCTCTCTCTCCCACAAGCGGGGTGAGACGCAAGCCCACTCCTCCCCGTGAGCAAGGGTGGTGGGGGAGAGTGAGAGCCGTGCACGAAGGCGCTGCCAGTCCGAGCGCACTCGGGGGATCGGCTCTGCCTGTGGGGTCACCTTGGGGGAAAGCAGAGGGGCCCAGGGGTTGGGAGGATGGCCCAGGGGCCTGGGGGGCGGGGAGGCGGTCCAGAGATCCACAACCCAATTTCCAAGTAGCACCGTCAGGTCATGCTCAGCATCGGATGGGGGGGGCAGCGAGGACCGCGAAAACACTATGAGGGGCTGGGGCCACAGACCGGAACCCCCGCTCTTTGCCACAGAGAAACCCCCCATCTCTCCTCCAAGCTCCTGATCCAGGGGGATTGAGCGACATGTGATGGCCCACCTAACACGACACACGGTGGATGTCACATGTTCGGACAGCGGCAGATGCAGTGGGACCACTCCACAGAGCCTCCGTTAAGAATTTCTTAAAAAGACGACAGGCTAGAGATTGTAGTGTTTTTAAAGCAACACTCAAGAGCCTGTCCCCTGATGACACACAGGCCACCCCAGCACGGGGCTCAGGCTACACTCTCAGGGAGAGGCCCCCATTCGGATCTAATTTGCGCCGCAATTAAAAAAAACCATCATGGCCCCAACCTTCAACTCTCCCAGAGCAGCACTGAAACGCCTCCCCTGTGCAGCCCGCCCAGATCCACACCCACCTCTCGTGCACCTGCAGGCTGGGCCCCTCCCCACTGAAACAGCAGCTCTGCTGTGGCTCCCAGCCACCCCCTGGGGGGCATTGCCAGGGTCAGAGGCCAAAGACCCCCAGGCTTGGGAACAGCCACCTCCCCCCCCCCCCAGAGGAAGTGGAGGCTCGGACCACCCGGTGCTGTGGCTCACCGCCCTCCCCCCCACCCCCGCCGACCCATCACGCCAACCACAAGCGGGACAGGCCCTCACCTGAAGCCAGGGCGGAGGGGGCCTCAGAGCTGCAGCTCGTCAGGGCAAGAGGCAGGAAACGAGCGCCACTGTGCTCTGTGCTCCCAATCCTGTGACCACAGTGTCCCCTCTGTCATTCATTCAGCAAAGCACTGCGGCCCTCCTGCCCCACCTCAGGAAGCTCACAGGCCCCTCTGGCCGCCTCCTCCTGGCCACCCTGGACTCTGACCGTGGCCACACCCCGGCACAGAACTGGGGAGGGAGGGAACACCGCCTGGGAGGCGCTCGGCTTTTCTGGGCAGGGAGGAAGCCCCCTGGGCAGCAGGAGCTCCCTGACCTCCCCTGCCCTCCTCTCCCACGTGGGGACCACAGCTGCCCCTCCGAGCTGGAGCCACCAGGTGGGGAGCGGCTCAGGGGTCCCCGCAGCCGTTTGCCCTGCGCTCAGCTCTGCAGGAGACACGAGGGGTGGGGACCCGTTTGTTTAGTTCTAAGGCAGGGACCCTCACTTCTCGTGCCTGTGAATCTACTTTCCGCTCAGAGGCGGGAAGTCCCGGGTGAGGGGTTCGGGAGAAGCAGATGGGCAGGGATCCCCTCCAGGAGCTACGGCAGCTGGCGCTCCCTCTCCCCCGAGCGGGGGGGGGGGGGACAGAGGTGGCCCCCAGGGCTCCTGATCTCCGGGTGGCTCCTGTCTTGCTGCCCCAGGGATGAAAGCAGACGCCGGGCACAACTACATCTCTGTCAGACACCTCTGCTGGCCACAGCCCTCTGGGCCCCACCCGCCCGCCCTGGCTCTCGTCGCTGGGTTGCGGGGCGCCTGCCGAGTCCCCGTGCGGGGAGGGGGCCTGGAGCTGCTCTGCCGAGCTGCTGTGACAGATGGACTCTCGGGCTGTGCCTGGGTCCTCTCCTAGCTGCAGCCAGCCCTGTGCAGGCACGGGGCCCGGACTAACCCTGGAGGTCAAGGGGACACTAAGCCCTGCTCAGGGAGCTGGGGTGCCCACCCCCTGGAGCACAAAGCCCTGAAACACCCCAGGTACCTGTTCCTGAGACAAGACCATTTTCGTGCGTATGAGGTGGAAGGCGCGGGAACCACAGGGCCAACCAGGAAGTGGGTGGCAGCGTGTGGGAGGGTTCCTGGCGGGCCAGGGGCCCCCGAGGCGCTGGGTGGGGCCTCCGCTCCCTGGCCAGACACCCCAACCCTCCTGGCTGGCAGTGCAGGCCCCCTTGCGGGGAGGGGGGAGGGGATGGGAGAAGGGGAAGGACACTGGGCGAGTCCACTCCCTCCCTCCAGGAGGCGACCCTGGCTGCGGGGGGCCCTTTCTCAGCGGGGGACAGGGACACGCATGCAGCTCCCAGCCAGTCCTGGTGATGTCACGGAGTTCCGCTTCTTGGCGCCAGCTTCGTACCAGGGCTGGGCTGCATGCTTTTCACCTGTATCCCCACAGCCCTTGGAGGGCGCGGCTGCCCTCATTCTACGGAGGATGGCACTGAGGGTCAAAGGTCAGGCCCATGGCCCACGGGTTAGGATTCAAACCCAGCGCTGTGCCGGGACACGGCGGGTGCAGGCATTCGATGTGCAGGTGGGGTGGCCCCGGGGGGCCGGGAGGACAGGCCCAGGGGACCCTTCTTCCCCACAGCCTCTCCCTGCTCCGCCCTCCTTCCTGGGGGGGCCCTCACCGGGGGTGGGGAGAGCGAGGCCAAGGGAGGAGGGACAGAGCACTGCTCTGCTGCTGTGCGGTGCTGAGCCGCAGCCCTCGCCACCCCCTTCCCCTGGGTTCTGGGGAGTGGAGCGGGCTCCCCTTTCCCCAGGGGGGGCACAGGGAGTCGGCCAGCTCAGCCCCTCTGCATCAGATTAGGGGGGCCAACAGGATTCAGACATGGATGGGGTGATGGGGAAAGGGAAGGGAAGGGAGACGTGAACAGTCTGGGGTGCTCAGTATCTCCCAAGTGACGGGGGGCGAACAGGAGGCAGAAGAGAGGAGAGCAAGTGGGACGATGGGAAGGAGAGACCATGAGGCAGTGGGGGAGGGGAGCCCCTCTGGGCCGCACCCCAGCCTCTCTCCACCCCTTAGCCCCCACAGGCCGGAGCGACAGATGAGAGAGCCAGGCCTCACCGTAGGAAATAACACCCCAGGGCATTCAGCCGGCAGTGGCAGAGCTGGGGTGGGAACCGGGAGGGTCTGGCTCTAGACTGGGGCTCTTTCCTCCCCCTGCCCTGGACTCCCCGCCTCGGGCCTGACTCGGGACCCCTCCACCGCCCCCCAGCGCGGAGCCGTGCCGTGACCCCGTGCTCTGAGAGGGCAGGCTCGATTCGGCGCTAGCACAGATATCCAGGAAGCAGCCAGAGTCGAACACCTCAAGCGACCGTCTGCAGCCCGCACACTGCAGCATCATTCCCGTCCTTGTGGGTCCATCGTACCCCCAGCTCTTTTTGAACAGTGACCTTAGACCAGGAGGGCCGGCGAGGGCGAAATGCGGGGCGGCAAAGTTGGAAATACCCCGCTGAGGCCAGGAGCCGCCCCTCTCTGGCCCTGATGAGTCTGAGCCCCACAGTCGAGCTGGACCCATAAACATGGTGGTAGGGTTGCTGGCTGGCCCAGCCGCTACTCGTGAGCCCCGTTTGCCGGGTTGCCTCCCAGCTGCTGTGGCCTGAGCCTCAGTCTATCGGCAGAGTCCTGGTGGCTGGGGATTCCAGGGAAGTTTTGCTTTCCTGATGGAAAGCGAGTCTTCTGGTACATTCTTCCTCATGGAGGAGGCTGCTGACCGAGGTCTACCTCCATTTGCAGCAGAAGGAGTAATGCTGGCAGTTCGGGGGGGTCAGGGGCTAGGAGGTGGCCCCACAAAGGTCCAGGTGGGGTGACCAGCAGCGAGTCCCCCATGACTCAACCACAGAACCAGACGGTGTACCAGACCACCCAACACACCCTCCTGTTAGGTGGGGAACCTCACAGTGGTTCCGGATATTTCCATGATTTAGGAAGCAAGTACTGCCTCGATGTAAGTCACGTGCCTCCGGCTGAGACCCGGTGGGGGGGGGGGCGCGGAGATGAGCGTGTTCCCCCAGCATATGTAGCAAGAGAACTGTTGTTACACGTGCTAGATGCACCCCCCGCCCCCCCATGCAAGGGGCGCAGGGCTCAGGTCCCAGGTGCTGGAGACACCATTTCTCTCTGTGAGATTCCCACATAGGCAGATCTCGAAAATCTGATGAGTCCCCCGGGGACAGATGAGTCCCTTGAGAACCGAAATGATGAAAAAGGTCCTTTTTATGTTGATTTGAAATCGGTGTCCTTGTGAACTACACCCACTAGGTCCACTTCTGCCATCTGGAGGCAAATCCCGCCTCTGCGTCTCATGGCGTTCCCGTCCATTTCACCTTCATGCCTCCTGGGCCGCTCCCTGCCACGACTTTCCAGGTTTCCACACGAGGTTTCTGACTTAACGGATACAATTTGGGCCAATGGCATGCGACGTGCATTGCTGCGCTGTCACACGGAACTCTTCCAGAACCGTAAAGGTGGCCAGGTGACTCCATCATGCTGCCAAGCACACTGGGCCGGAGCCGGCTGGCTGCTAAGTGGTGGAGGGGGTGGGGCAGAGATCTGACGCTTGAGCGGCTGACTTCAGAGCCTGGGCACATCTTAGGCGCCCTTGGGTATGGGCTCTTTCTGGAATATCAACACTGAGGTCACATCCTCCAGTCAGCTGTTGGCAGAGATCCTTCGGGAAACAAGGCACCCAGAGCGTGGAACAATGTCCCAGGCCTTGGTCAGCAGTCAGGGAGGATGGGGAGCCTCCCTCCCTGCTCTGGGACAGGGTTTGGCCTGGGGACCCAATCCAGCCTGTCACCTGTGTTCGCGTGGCTTGTGAGCGAAGGGTGGTTTTTAAAGCGGTTGGAAGAAAAACAAAAGAAGAATATTTCTTGGGAATGAAAATTATATAAACTTCAAGTTTGTGTCCACAAATAAGGTTTTACTGGCACAGAACCATGCTGGTTTGCTGTCTTGTTCTGCTCCGGCTGACATAACAAGCTGGGGTGGGGTTGGGGGGGCTTCAGCAACAGACACGTACTCCTCACAGTTCTGGAAGCTGGAAGTCCAAGGTCAAGGTGCTGGCACACTCAGTGTCTGCTGAGGGGCCGGGTCCTGGCTCACAGCCGGGGGTCTCTGGCTGGGTCCTCACATGGCAGACAGTGGGCCTCAGCCTCACAACCTCATCAAATCCTAATCACCTCCCAAAGGCCCCGCCTCCAAATCCTACCGCACTGGGGGTCAGCACTTCCACACGTGAATGGGGGGGCACATTCAGACCCCACCGCTTATTTACTTCGTTCTTGGGACGAGGCAGAGCTGGGCGTTTCCACAGCGACCGCACCACCTCCCACCGGAAACATTTGCTCTCTCGTCCTTTGTAGGAGAGGTGTGCAGACCCCTGACCCTCCATGGGGACAAGACGCCCATCACCATGCCTCGTAAGACAGCCTCGCCTCCCTCAGGCCTCAGGGGCCAACCCCCTCATCCCCTGCCTGCTTTGCATGCTCTCCCCTCCCCACACCCCTCCCCGGCCCGTGTCCACACCTGCTTCTGGACCCAGGTGTGGGTCTTTACCTCTTTCTTCGTGGTGCTCAGCACTGAGCCGCAAGCATGCTCTGGGTCTCTGCTTTTGTCTCTCGAATTTGGGTGCATCGTAGGGGGTTTGGGGACTTGTAAGCCAGCCCTGGGATTCTGCTGGGAGTTTCTGCCTCATGAGATCACAGCCTCCCCTCTGGGGATTGGACACGCTAATCCCCTCTAATACCCCCTACCCAGAAGGCAGCCCTGTCTCAGGGGTGCTGTGGCCTCTAGGATTCTGCCCATCCCGGTCCAAACCCCCACCATGAAGACGAGGGCAACAGCAGGAGGCGCCCCGTACAGTGAGTTACTGTTGGCACACGCTCAACAATGCCACCGCCACCCCGCCTACGGTTCCCACCTGCCACACCACGTGTGAGAGGTCTCCCGGCACCTTTGTGGTTGAAAAGTTCCCCGCATTTCTTTCCTGGGGGACACCTCCCTCGTGAACATATATGCAGATTTCTCAAGCGTTCAGGCCAAGTCAGAGCACCTGATCGAATTCAGGACTCGGCTCTGTGGTCTGTTGAAAGGACCCCTTCTCCAGAAGGCTCCTGAATAGGTGGACACCCAGCCACGGCCATGCCCGAGGTTTGAAAGGGCTCCAGGATGACTCGCAGAACCTGGAGGGACAGTCCAGACAACATCATGGGGAGAGGGACCCTCCCAAGAGCAAGGTCCTCCTGGCCCTGCCCAGCAGAGTTCTACTTGCTCCTTCATCTCCGATGCCTGGGTAGTGGAGCAGGGAGCGAGGCCAGCAGGTGGGGCTGGGGACACTGCCTGGCCCCTGGGGGTCAGGGGGAGGGAGCCCCCTTTGCTTGGATGGCTGCAGCTGTCCACTGTGGGTGTCAGCACATGTGTTCTCCCTTCTCAGGGGTGTGTGGGGGGGGGTCTGAGTCTAGACGTGGCTCAAATATCCCTGCCCCAAAGATGTTCTGACCTAAGAGAAACCTAACGATCGCAGAATCTTTTCTTTGTCCCTCCCCGCCCCCCCGCAACAACAACACGTCTAAGCCCCAATCACGTCAGCTCAGACACAGCACCAAACAGAACCCTGTCACCCTCGGTTGCCTTTAGGTGGACACAATACTTGCCTGGCGTCCTTCAACATATGATGAAAAACAGCTAGGGCAGGAGACCAGAAGGCGGGGTAGGTAAGGGCCAGAGAGTCGATATTTTAGGCTCTGGGGGCCTGCTGGTCTCGGCTGCAAGGCTGTGCGAAAGCAACCAGAGACCGTGTGGGACTGGATGGGGGTGGCTGTGTTCTGATAAAATGTTATTTACAAAAACAGGTGGCGGCTGGAGTGGGTCCTTATAAAACCCGGATCTGTGACATTAAAAAAATAGGGGACGTCCATCGTGATGAGATCAAGGCCAAAGTTCGGACCCTCGTGAGGTCCACACACCGCAGGTCTGCCCTGCAGGGGGCTGGGGGCTAGGGCCTGTTCTGTGA